TTTCACGGTGGCTTTGGAAATATGACTTTTATTTTCTCGTGTTGAAAACAATATTTTACTCACTCGCTGCGCTCGTTCGTAAAATATTGTTTTCACCACTCGAAAATAAAAGTCATATTTCCGTGCCACCGTGAAATATCCTCTATATACAAATATACATATATACATATATATATATATATATATATATATATATATATATATATATATATATATATATATATATATATATATATATATATATATATACAAATATATATATATATATATATATATATATATATATATATATATATATATATATATATATATATATATATATATATATATATATATATATATATAGCCAATAGCTCAGGTTACATATATTTACGCTTTCCTAAAGCCTAGTTCTCATTCATCGCAAACCGTCGGCGATGGGAGCTTTGCGACGTCGGCGACCGCTTGCGATTTATGAGAACACATAAAAAATTATATCGCCGATTTTCCATAATCGTCGCCGACCATCGGCGATGACATCGCAGGAAACAAAAAAGTTTGTTTCTTGCGACCATCGCCGACTGCCACTTGCTTGAAAAATCTATGAAAAATGAGTAAAAGTTGTTTTTTCCTCAACAAGCAAGGAAATAATCAACTGAAGTTTGACATAAATCATGATCTTTACGTTGAACGGGGTCACTTTGTGCCTTGGTGGGAAATTTCGAAACACATCGGCTGTCATCTGCGTCGTTCACCGATGTATGAGAACTTTCGTACATTCGCGATCGGCGAGCATCGGCAATAAGCGTCGCCGATCGTCGGTGACAGTTTGCGATGAATGAGAACTAGGCTTAATGACGTCAAACATTTGTATAATAGCTCAAGTTACCTATAGGTTACAACATCATGTAAATACGCGATATTATCATTCACCTGATGAGTGTGGAGCAAACTGTTTCGCTTTTAAAATTTACTGCATTGAGTTTGCTGTCGGAAAAAAGTCGAGGAAAACTTCCCGTCTGGAGAAAACAATCACTTTTTCAAATATCTTGAGTCGCACTGTCGTTCTTGAATGCACAAGGAAACAATACGGAAAGAGATATTCTTGCGAGAAAATTTCATTTCACAGGTAGGTAAATTGACTTGCAACTGTGACTTTGCCGTCGCCATTTTTCGCGATTGTTTGAATTATTTTTTAGTGTATCCGTTTTATAGTTTTTAGTGAATACAATGGTAGGTTATTTTTTTAAAAATTTATTGTGTGATCGGAATTTGCCTGCCAGCAAAATGTAAATGAATATGTACGTGTTTTTGAATGTTTAGACCATATGGGCTTAGTAAAAAATTATTTTAACAACTACGTTTTGGCGAATAACTCCATCTTCAGGTTAAAAGTGAATAAAGATATAAAAACAGTGATAAAAACTTTTAAAACAATTACAAATTTTTATATGTAAGTGACTTTTAATACTGTATGAAAGTTCTTGAACAGTTGATGACGAAGACAATGACGAATACTTATGTCGTTATTTTTTTGTCGGCTTCAGTTTTCGGTCGCTGTTATCGTTTCATATATATAAGGACCTCCGGCCCTTCCTAGTTTGGAGTCCGCCCCCCACACTTTCTGGGATAGAATGAAGCCCTTGCAAACAGGTGCGTGCAGAATGCTACTGAGGAACAATGAATATAAATTCCGCTCAATCACTGCACTCTCGCTCAGTTCTACTGGTCAGACATAGTAAAATGTGAGGTATATAGTAAAATGTAAAATGTGAGGGGAGGAGGTGTCCAATAGTAAAATGTGAGGTGTCCAATAGTAAAATGTGAGGGGAGGAGGTGTCCTGATTAACATATACTAAAAATCCAAAAAAATCCCTTCGGTGGAACATGGTGAATATCGAGTTTTTCTTTCTTCTACCTATAGAAAACCATTGTGGAGAGAATATCCAAATTTTGAAGTCATTTTTAGGCAAATGTAACCTACATCATTGGAAAGCTTAAACAAAACTATATAAAGATCAATTAAACCGTTATATTCAATTTACTGGTCATTTTGTCGTTATTCTAGCTAAAAGTTGGAAAAATGGTGCAAAATTCGCACAAAATACAAATTTAGGGCATTTTAAATCTTCTATAACTTGGGCTGAATAGGCAAAAGCAAGGTAACCGTTTAATGATCGATACTTTAGTTTTTTCTAAGCTTTCCAATAATGTAGGTTACATTTGCCTAAAAATGATTTCAAAATTTCAACATTCTGTCCACAATGGTTTTCTATAGGTAGAAGTAAGAAAAACTCGATTTTCACCATGTTCCACAGAAGGGATTTTTTTTATTTTTAGTATGTTAATCAGAACAACTTTCTCACACTTTGCCACTGAAAACAAATCTATTGCGATTACTTTGATCAAGACCATGTACTTATAGTGATTTTACTGGACTAATGGGGTAGTGATCGGCCCATCCAGGAACCCGCCCCTTCGCGTGGGTCGTACTCAGGCTGAACCGTCTGAACCAAGCTTGGCTCGATTACGCTGACCAATATCTTATTCCATACACGCATAACAACACTCAGGTTGTTGCAATACTGATGAAAACAGGATTGAACAATGTTTTATTAGTGCCCATGTTGTTCATAGCTGTCAACAATATTGAACAGTATTGTTACACCCGATTCAGGCTCAACAACATTGTTCAATATTGTTGACAAGTGTGAACAACGTGGGCAGCAAAACATTGTTCAGTCCTGCTGAGCAACGGGCTCGGCGTTTTTTGCCGCATACCTTATTTTAACTGAGCATGAATGAGAATGTTATTGAATGTATTTAAATAGAATGCGATGTTTTTTTAAGCAAGTATTTGTCACTTTTATTTCCAATCACATATCGTTTGCAATATTGATGATATGTTTCAAAATCTGCTTCCTAATTAAAAAAGTGGCTTTCTTTAAAGTTTAAAAACTTACGTACTCGTGATACCTTAGTGATAGTTTGAAAACTTAGTCATCACCACTGTATTTTGCCGGCCATGCCGTGTGCGTGATCGCTGCCCGTGGTTTACTTGAATCATATCACGCAGCTGATATGATCAAATTACCCCGTGTTACTGGAATCACCCGCTACATCAAATACGATGACATAAGGCGTAATTCGATAATAAGTTTCTTGCTTCCCTAGCCTGGCACAAACTTAGCTTTCTGATTGGACACTTGGAATATGAAGTATAATATTATGCATATATCAGACCATTTGCCCTAGGATCTCAAATCTGAGTCAATGATCAATAGGCGTGTTCTGTTCTGATCCTGGTAACAACTATGCATTGTTAGACCGGTCAATGACGGAGGCACATATATATAGCAGTTTCGGGTGGAATTTGAAAAATTGCACGGGAAAATACAGGGGTGGCAAAAAAAGCGCCCCATGTGAAATGACATTCCTGGTTCTTTGCATTGCATGCGAGGAAAGTGTTAAGAGAAGAATCTTTTGTATGTCGCATAATCGCGCTCAAAACTAATGAATATGCGTTCCCACTTGGCTTCAATTTTTTACATTTTCGATACGTTTCTCAAGCGGCAAACAAACTTAAAAAGTATGTTTGATGCTTTATTCGTAAATTTATGCTAAAATGAATAGATTTTTTATGGTACGCCAATGAGAAAATGATGTCTGAATTTCAGTAAGTTTTGCTTATATCGCTGTATAAATATGGCGTCAATTTTGCAGTATCAATGATAATTGTATTTAAATTAACAATTTTTTACTATTATTTTATGTTTCTCAACCGCCAGATACATTTACAAGTAAAAAGGTTGCTAACTGTGTAAACCACAAAATAAAGCTAAAACAAAGTAATTTTGAGAGGAACGCCAAAAAGACTTTTAGATTTTGAACACTTTGCATCACAAGTACGCGACATTGAAAAACATTGAAAAACAAAGTTATGAAATTAAAAACATTGAAAAACAAAGTTATGTCTTTCTACTTACTTGTGAAGCTTTGAATATTAATTAATAATCGATGAAACTGGTGATTTTAAGTCAGTGGTTAGAAGACTACATGCATTCTGAAAGTTTTTTTTTTAATTCTAAATCCAAGATGGCGATTTTGAACAAGAAATTTACCAAAATTGTTTACTTCTTCATTAAAAAATGTTTAATATCCGGATTTTTTCCTGAGAAAAATTAGTCCAAATCTGAAGTTATGTAAAGCTCCACCAGTTAGTATAATTATTACATGTGCGTAGTGGTGTCTTCAGGATAATGAATGGCCAGAATGCGGTTCTATAAGGTAAGTATTTGTTATGATAAAAGGTGGGCTTACATAGCACAAAGGTGGGCTTACAATTACTGTAGGTATAACGCTCCAATTGTGGAGTTATTATTGTGACATTTCAGTAGACCATTTCCGCACAGTTCTATGCAAATTCTGTTGTTTTTAAGGTAACTGGGTCTATAAGCCACCAGTAACAATAGTTTGATTTCTAACTCCTTTATGCACGAATCTATAGAAAAGTTCCATCACATGCACGTGTAAAAATCTATAATAACTAGCAGTGTCACGTCAGTCTGACCCTCGAGATTTACAGAAACCCTCACCCAGTTAATTTCTGGACAAGCTATGAAAAGTGAAAACATCACTATCAAATTATTTAAAAAGGTTTGATGAATTTCTTCCACAAAAGCGCCATTTGGAATCTAGATACAAAGCTCTCTAAACGCATGTAATCTTCTAACCAATGACTTATTAAATCACCAGTTTCATCGACTAATATTCAAAGCAGCACAAGTAAGTAGAAAAACATAACTTTTATTAACACATTCATCATATACGATGGGGGCCACGTTTTTACCACACCCAGTATTGTTTACACATTATACCGACATTTTATTACATTGCATTTATATAATAATATCATATCATTAATTGAGCGGAAACGTTTCTTGCAAGTTAATTGTTTCCTTTTCATACGATACAAAACTCAGGAGAGTGGGAAGTAAAGATAAAAATATAGGTATACGTACCAATGTTCAACATGGTCTTCATAAGGTCCATGTGACTATATATCACTGCTTCATATATTGGTGATTCTCCCGTGGAATTCACACTATCAATGTAACCTCCTAGTTCCACCATTTTCAAAGCGAGAGGTATTTCATCACATACTATAGCCATGGACAATGGTGTCATATTCTGTTGTGGTTTGTGAGGCCGGTTTATCAACTGATCAAATACAGTACATTTACTTAGATATTCGATCGCAATCAGATTATTTTCTCCTCGCATGTAGTGAAGCAGATTTTCGCTACTGTAATTTGCCATACGAAATGGGTAGAGGGTTACAGGACCGTGACGTGGATCCATTAAGTGCTGTGTTTCTAATGCCTCCAATGCTGGTTTCAACTTCTCATAGAGTTCAAGCAAGTATTTAAAACAGTCGAGATCGAAAAACATCGCCTGGATAATAAGGCACCCATTTGCTTCAATAAACAAAAACGCCCTAGGGCAGTGCAAAAGCATTTTGACTTTATCAGATATATCTGCAATAAAAAATAAAATAGTGTCAAGATTTGCGTCACGAAGGACGTGGAAACTAACACCAGGCGCAAGGTATGCGACTATCGAAGTTAGTGGGATAGATTATACTGTGCCCAGCGTGTCGACGTTAGCCAACTTACTTACAATGATTTTGTTTTGTAACAAGTCTTGGCACAGTGAAAGAACTAGGCCCTATTTAATCCTCGAGCAACGCGCGGGAGCACGTAGCGGGGGTATTAATTTCGCTATGCTATTTACACCTGGGGAAAGGGAAAGGTAGCACGAGTCACGTGGCTATGGTTCACCGTGTGTAGGTGGTCATCTCACTGATCTCAAGGATAGGATGTATTGCTAGGAGAGGAATTAGCAAGACTTAAAGTGGCACTCTCGTCAAAATTTTTATTTCCTTAAACGAAAATGCTCTTAAAACTGTATAGTAACTTGTTTTGAAGATATTTGTTCACATGCTTAGTTCTTGAGATATTTCATTATGTTTGTAACCATGTGACGTCATTTACTCAATTACATGTATAATGAAATATCATTAATTGTTGTGTATCTTTGCTATTTTTGATGGATTTGTTTAAAAAAAAACAGTATGTTTAATGATATAGGTTAAATTATCAAACGCGCCGTATCTTGGGAAAAATTTTGATAAAACACAAAAATTACTGATATCTCATTATATATGTAATTGAGTAAATGACGTCACATGGTTAGAAACAAAAATGAAATATCTCAAGAACTAAGCATGGAAACAAAAATCTTCAAAACAAGTTACTATACAGTTTTAAGAGCATATTCGTTTAAGAAAGTAAACATTTTGACGAGAGTGCCACTTTAAAAAGAAAATATGGGAAAATTGTTTCATACAATGTGTTGTGAAGCAGTTCTTCAATTTTGTTTTAAAAAATGATGAGAGGAGTTTTATTAATACAAATGTATAAAAGTTTGTTTATAAAAGTTGTTTGCGGATTTGTTGTTTTAAAATTTGTTTTACTTATAATTATACACTGACTATTTCCTGTTCAAGGTTGAATTTTATATTAAATCCATGCTTATTAATATGCATTAAACATATATACATTTAGTCCGCGTGTTGTGACCCGATATCGGTCACTTTCATCAAGCATGCACGTCTTAGATCTGAAATATTTTTACGGGAACTAACACTTTCGAACACGCTGAATTCAAATCCGAAAAATTCCCACTCCATAGACCCTCAGTTTTTTCACAAATTGCTATTTTATCTTCACTAATTTTACAACAAATGTTTTCATTGTTCAACGATACGGATCGATTACGATACACGATTATGTCTCTCAAAATGACAAATTTCTATTAACCAATCTTCCTTTTAACAAAAGATCGGTTTTGCTCGAATCATTTTGAGTTATACAATCTTATGCGTGTTGGACGTAAACAACATATCTTGTCTACAACTTTGTGAAAGTACAGATAACACTTTTTAAAATCCTCAGTTCTAGAGATATCTCTATAAATTCACAAGGACATTAATGAGAAGTCTTTTAGCTATGTCACTGGCCTGAAAACTAATTCTTTTATGAAATATTATGAAATATTATAAAATGAAATATTATCGAATGCATGTTGCTGGTAGAACACTTACGACAGGATCAATCTTAAATAACCGCCAAAATATTGCGTGTTTGGATCCTAGGAGTCTGGAAACACCGGAATCGATTCTACAGATCAAAGTACTTCCTGAAGGGTGCGTTGCACGTCCACCCAGCTATTGCTTCTCTTTATATGGCCACGTATACACGTGACGTGTATACCTGAAAATTTTGAAAACCCAATATTTCGAAAATATTAAAATAAATATATAATTCTTCTCGCTGTATTCAGACGAAACTTTCTACATGAAAGCGCTTGACTACAAGGAGTATTTTACTCCGATCTAGTTGGGCGAACAACGAAAAGTTTAGAAGACTATAACTTTTTCCTCGAAATAAATCTGTCTGAATGTTTGGCCAAGTTGAGTAAATGTACGATTGTTTTGGTTTGTGTAATGTTTTGACGGCATTCAACCCCTCCCCCTTGAAAAGATTATTTTGTAAGGATTTCAACGGTGTTTTTCGTTTCATAGGGGAGTAAATACTGGAGATATCTTCATATAAACAATTGAATCGTAAATATAAAATTGGGGCTTAACTAGAGTGTAGTTTAATTATTTTGCCAGTAATTTTGAAAGAAACTATAACCAAAAAGATAAAATGATCTCTTCACTATTACAACTCGTGTTGCTCGACGCGAGTCTTCGTTCTGTTTAGTCGCAGTACAGTACTTCTTCGTGCACGCATGTATTCCAATAGTATATCAATAAATATCAATACAGTAAGCATATCCATACAAGGGATGATTATATATTTCTGGATAATTCTTCCACTTTATTTTTCCATAGTAAGGTTTGATCAATAATAATATATTTCTAAATATATCATCTTTTCCACTCATTTAATTAACGTGCTTAATAATATACATAAAAATATTACTCGACTTATATCGGTCGATTTCAGAGCAGTTAATCCCAAACAGCGGAGCAATTTTCTGTAATCACTGTGCAATTTTCTGTAATCACAGTGCAATCTTTTGTGGTCACAGTGCAATTCTCTGTAATCACAGTGCAAAAGCTGTAACAAAATGATCTAATTGGTGGAAATAATGTGATGACAAAATCAACCAATCAGTTTAAAGCAGTTTAGTTTAGGTCACAGATTGATTGATTGATTGATTGATTGATTTTTATTAATTACCACATTGTAAGACCTTGTAAATTCAAGAAAATTGAAAGTGATATTACAGAGATGTTAAAAATTTTAAAAATTGCGATAATTTAAGTTTAAAACAACTATAATATATAATATAAACTATATTGATGATATGTACTATAAAATATTATGTTATGCCTATGATCGGTCCCAGTTTCTAACACACTTTGGGATAAAACTGTTCTTATATCGTTCAGTTTTGCACTTGTACATAGGAAAAGTGCATTTGTCTCTTAGACAGAATTTGCGAGTTATAATACTGAGTAGTAGCGTCCTTAACTTGTCGTCTGAGTGTTGATGGATGTTTTTATAAAATGACAAGCACTGATTCTCTCTGCGCTGGTAAAGTGTAAGAAGGCAAATATTTCTTAGTGAAGCAGCATAAGAGGACTGGGGGAAGCGATTTTCGATGCACGTTTTTGTGTACTCTCGATTTGGTCAGCGAGGAATTGAGAGAGAGAAAAGTGCTATACAGGTGAGGCGTACTCCAAAACTGGACGAATAAATGCACAAAAGACCGTTATTAAATCATTGCCTACGGCACCAGATCGTTTGAAGATCCCTAGAGCGTGGGTACGCACACTTACTTTGGTGCAGATGTAATCCAGGTAAGGTGCGATGATATTATCCCAGAAGTTTGATGGTCTGTACGATTTCTATGGCCCCCTTTACACGAGCCCGGGTTGATTTTCAACCCGGGTCAGCACGCCACAGGTGGTTATTTTTTTATTCTGTTTACATGAACCCGGGTTGACGACAATTTTGCCAACCCGGGTCAGCAATTTTCAACCCGGGCTGACTCGAGTAATATTCCGAGCAACAGACTGGAGCAGAGTGTATTTTTGGCGCTTATATCCCTTAAAATCCCTTATAGACCTCATACGATATTATTACGATTATATACCTTTTAGTTTTGGCGCTTATTATATCTTTCAGTATACAATTATATCCCTTTTTATCAAGGATTTAACCATATAGCAACTTAATTCTGCCTTAAAGACGTTTTCTTCCCTTTTTTTCCTGTTATTTTGTACTGGAAGATCTACTGGGCAAAAATATTCGGCATCGAACGCCAACGCCAGACCTTCGCGCAACTTTGAATACATTGCGACAACATCGGAGTTGAAATCTACATTTTTCAATTCATCTCCGTCTTATAATCCTTCAGAGAAAGGATTAGGTGATCAATAATTTCAGACCACTACTGAAACGCGGGTTGTGCATTTTTTCTTTTGGTTTTGGACAGTTTTTACTCGCCATACTGTATGATTTTATATGTCTGTACCCAAACAGAGACGGAGAAAATACGCACGCAAAATGTTGAAATGCGATATGACGCTAGGTGCAAAGTTCACAATCAGGAATTTCCCGCACTTTACATGATCCCGGGTCGAGCCAACCCGGCTTTACATGAAGAAATGAGTAAACCTTTCACGCGTTCACACCTCGCCAACCCGGGTCGACCCGGGTCTCGAGAAGGGTGCCCCGGGTTGGCGAGGTGTGAACGGTTGACCCGGCTATCGTGTAAACGCTAATAGAGATTTATTCGTAGACGGGTTGACCCGGGCTGGCAAGCCAACCCGGGTTGATAGTCAACCCGGGCTCGTGTAAAGGGGGCCTATGTTTAAACCAGATAAAGAGAGGGCATCGAATTCCATAGGGACTCTAAGGATAGGGACTCTAAGGATAGGGACTCTAAGGAAGGATATACGCATTTCTTTGGTTTTAGATACATTAAGCCGCATGTTGTTGTGATTTGTTGAGTCATTTATAGTGTTTATATTAACTTGAAGCGATGAATTGGGGGACCATCTTGAAACGATTTCATAAGTGCATGGAACGGTCATCGACATATTTGTACAATGGAATGTTAACTTGCAAGTCGTTTATCATTACAAGGAAGAAGAGGGGTCCAAATTTTGTTCTTTGAGGAACCCCTGCATTTATTTGTCGCCATGATGATTTCTTCTGGCCAAGTTTGACACGTAAATATTGGTCATGCAGGAACTCAGCGAACCAGTTCAACAAGATAGGAGGGAAGTTAAGTTGTTGTAATTTATGAAGTAAAATATTGTGATCGATCCGGTCAAAGGCTTTCGAAAAGTCAATCATACAACATCTGATAGTTGTACCAGGGTTTTCTAATTCGACCAGCCAGTTATAGATCATGTGGATAAGAGCGTGTGTGGTGGAGCAATTTTTTACAATTTCCAAACTGGTGCGGGTCAATTGATGGTTTGATATGATTAAAAAGCCACCGAAAAACGAAGCTTTCCAATAATTTACTCAGCATCGGTGTGAGAGAAATAGGTCTTAGGTCGCTATCAACTGTTTTGGAATTAGATATTTTTGGCACTGGGATAACGTCATGTGATTTCCAGAGTGTCGGGATGCGACCTTGTGCATTGCTGGTATTGAAGATTGCTTCAAAACAAAACAAACACGGCGCCGCGATAAAGTAAAAGTTCGCTTTGGTTGGAAAATATTGCTTTTGATATCTTTTGTTAATGGAAAAGCCTTTCTTAAACAAGACTAACAAAACTTACATAGTTGAGTGGAATTTTCACGCTGTTAGTGTTGTATAATGTAATATAACAAAGCCAGGAAATATTTGCCGCTGGGTGGTTCGCTATAAACGTAAGTTAAAACACCAATAGTCGCAAACACTTTTGTGTAAATTAGTAATAACTTATAGCATGGTTTCTCGTGAAATTTGGATAAACATGCACGCGTGAGTTGTTCGAAGACCTCAAATGGCACTCGTTCTTTGGACTCGTGCATGTTATATCCAAAATGCGCTCGAAATAATGCTATTACCTATACTAAGATAATAAGATATAAGTAGGCTAGTTTGTTGTATAATAGTCCAAATAATAGAGTTATGCTAGACGTTCGGTTCAATTTCGGTTGCCATTTATCAGGAACAGAGCAGTGTCATTTGCGAACAATCTATGCGCTGTCTAATTTAACAGTGTCATTTGCGAACATTTTATGTACTGTCTAATCATTTTAACACTAAATTGTATTTCAGTTCTCATTTCATTCCACATACAGTATTTTTAATATTTTAAATTAATAAGGACTATGATTTTTCACCTTGACGTCAAAAGAGGATAAACACTCAGTGCGATGTCCCATAACGGGATAATTTTTAGAGCGGACAAATATGCTAATTATATTGCATGAAATTTGATTGGCTCGACAAAATGGCGCATTGCGATTCGTCGCTATAAATTGTCCCGTGGGAAAGTGTTTGGAAAATGTCCATTAAATTGTATTCGTTTTACTATGTTGTATTGCTATGGTTGTTGTTCACTTTTGTCGTGCTGAGTTGAGTGCAACGACGACGACCACGGCGGCGGTGACGACGACAACGACGACGGCGACGACGACGACGGCGGCGACGACGACGACGACGACGATCCTTTATTACTCCAAAAAATACATAATTTATTTACACATACACATATTGAATTTTTTTATACATTTTCTAATGAGCACTGGCCACCAAAATAACCATGGGGCTAGAAAATCTGGCAGTCAGTTTGTTTCAACAGGTCAATCTTCTCAAAAACAATTTCACACCAAAAACAAAGACAAACGACAACAAAAAAAAGATTAAAGAATAATAAAGCCTAAATGAAAATAAAACAACGAGAGATCAATAACCTTGCAATGTTATATCGGTTATTTCCAGTAATGCACATAATCAAAAAGTGTTATTTAGTACGGTTGATAAAATACTCCATGGAAAGCCAGAAAAGCGCTATCCAACTGCGTCATCAACGACTGAACTCGTGAATAAATTTGCAGATTTCTTCAGTAATAAGATTGCTATTATATGGAAAGAACTAGCCATTGATTCTTCCCACTGTAATCAGCGAAATCAAGAGGAACAATATGCACAATGCGTTAAATTCATTAACTTTCAAGAAGTCACGGAACATGAGATTGAAAATGTTATTGATAAAGTTGGTAAAAAATCTTGTGAACTTGATCCAGTTCCCGCAAAAATCTTTCAGGTTTGTCAGAAGACCCTCTTACCTATAATTACTGAGATTAGTAATGAGTCACTTCAGTCAGGTTATATGCCTGAGAAACTAAAAAGCCGTATTGAAACCAAAACTAAAGAAAGATTCGCTGGAGTACGAAGAATACACAAATTTCCGACCTATTTCAAATTTAAAATTCCTGTCTAAAGTAGTTGAGAAGGTTGCTGCCGGTCAGCTTCTGGAACACTTGGCTAATAACAACTTAGAAGAACCCTTCCAGTCGGCATGTAAACGTTTTCATAGTGCAGAAACAACCCTATTAAAAGTACAAAACGATATTCTTGTAGCCATTGATAATCGTAAGTGTGTGGTGTTGCTATTACTAGATATGTCAGCAGCATTCGATACTGTTGATCACGAACTTTTACTACAACGAATGTTCAAAAGATTTGGGATAGATGGGCAAGTGTTGAAATGGTTTCAGTCCCATCTTCAGAATAGAACGCAAAGTGTAGTGATTGACGGTGTTAAATCTATCTCTAAAGACTTGCGCTGTGGAGTCCCACAAGGATCAGTTCTCGGCCCAATATTATATTTACTATACACTTCACCTCTTGGTGATATCATCAAAGGTCATGGTCTTGATTTTCACTTTTATGCAGATGACGTGCAATTATATCTCGCTTTTGAGTCAACCATTGAGGGAAAATTGGGAGCACTGGCACAAATTGAAATGTGTGTGAAAGAGATTGGTTTGTGGATGGTCAAAAATAAACTAAAATTGAATGGGGGACAAGACTGAACTACTGGTAATCAATGCACGAAATCGTTCATGCCCTGCTGTAGAATATATAGAAGTATCGAATTCAAGAATTCAACCAAGTACTTCAGCACGAAACATTGGTGTAACTTTCGACCACCACATGTCTATGGATAAACATGTTACCAATATTTGCAAGAACTGTTTTTTACATTTGAGAAAAATAGCAAGAATAAAAGAGTACTTATCAACGTCAGATATCCAAACTTTAGTTCATGCCTTTATTACATCGAAACTGGATAATTGTAATTCTTTATTATACGGATTGCCTAAATTTCTTATTGATCGGTTACAGAATGTGCAAAACTGTGCTGCTCGACTGGTGACAGGAAGCAAAAAATACGATCATATTACTCCATTAATGAAACAATTACATTGGCTCTCCATCAGTCAACGCATCATCTATAAAATTGTTCTTATTACGTATAAATCTCTGAGTGGCTCAGCTCCACATTACATTAATAATATGCTAAAACCTTACACACCATCAGCAAATTTACGCTCCTCATCCAAAGGATTGCTTACCATACCCTCAGTAAAACTATTGAACTATGGTGAACGATCGTTCTCATATGCTGCACCGAAACTGTGGAACGAACTGCCAGAGTATATTAGAAAGAGTGAGACCTTGCCTATTTTTAAAACCAGATTAAAGACACATCTTTTTAAACAATATTATGACTAAGTTATTATTTTAACAAGATTATTAGCAATTTTATAGTATTCTATATAGTTGTTGTTTTAATATTATCAACATACATAACATAAAGTAATCTTGATATTTGTGGTGTTACTCTGAGTGTATATCCACACCGGGCGAGCTTGAAAAGTATGCCCGGCCACGGTGGGATTCGAACCTACGACCTTTGGAAAAGTAATCTTATATTCTTAACGAGAAGAGCATATAATTAATTTTTTAGTAATTTTATAGCATAGTAATTTTAGTAGTCAATGCATGTACTACGTTCTAACACTTAGTATATATTTTTAACACTTAATGTTAAGCGCTATTGAGCTATGGGAAATGGCGCTATATAAATTAATTATAATAATAATAATAATAATAATAATAATAATAATAATAATAATAATAACAATAATAATAATAATAATAATAACAATAATAATAATAATAATATTAAAAATAATAATAATAATAATAATGTCAATTGAGTTATTATGTTAGTTTCTGTAACTTTCACTTAGGCCGTTACACTTAGGCGTTTTGATTGAAGGTTCTCATCATTACGATAAGTGTACACAAAATCAATTGATCAGTATATATATACTCACCCAATTCATTCATGACATTATGTAATTTTTCCAAATTACGATTTTGAATGGCATTGCCGAGTTCATCAAACATTTCTGATTCACCGGTGGTCAAATGACAAAAATCAACAAACCGCGATACTCTGGATGTTTTTCCGATATAAATAACTTCCGGATGGCCATTATCATCAAGGATTGTAGCGTAGTTGTTTTCGGTGTCTTTTGTACCGTCGTTGTATTGATTGTCTTTTGAAGTGTGATACATTAAAGAAACGCTGGAAGTGTCTGCGCCTTCAACTGTCTTGCTTGAATTTTTATAAGAGCTCATTATGGCAAAACCTTCATCAAAATATATAAATATATATATATAATTATAAGTATAAAATTAAATAGAAAGAACTAATACAACACAGTATCAGTTTCTTTTAAACAAAGCAGTAGTATATATATATATATATATATATATATATATATATATATATATATATATATATATATATATATATATATATATATATATATATATATATAAATACTGAACCCTATTTTTAAGAGAATAGCGTGAAACTCAGAAAAAAGCGTGAAATTCAGAGTAGCGACGCAAACATTCAAACCTTGACTAAATTATGACAGTGAGTGACAAATATGAATAAATTACTATTTACAATATCAAATTACAATTAGGGTGATAGGAATGCGGAGGATGGGGGGGGGGGGTTAACTGAAGCAATAGTTAATTATCCTCTGTTACAATATCTTGACAATTTGTTAGGCCAAAACCGCTTGGCCTTGAAAATTTGAAATACTCTTGTTTTACAACTCGAAGACGAAGTGAAAAATATGGTTTTAGGACCGGTATATCTCACAGAAAATCTCAGATATATTATACAGATGTTTGGTGGTATAGTCACTGCTTATTTACTGCAAATTCATCTGTCTTTCGTTGCAAACTTTTCTGAATTCTCAAAGAAAATGTTTTTACGCTGTTATTTTGGTATTAATTCTTTAAAAAACTTCTATTTAAACTAATTTATATGTATAATATATTTATTTTGCTAACCTGTCAAATTTTTTTGACAGTGTTATGAATTTACAATTATAATACAGTGATCAATTAGAATTTAACATTGGTAATTTGAATACACTAATGTCAATACAAATAAATAGATTTACGTTTATCAATATCATACGAACTTAACAGTGTACAGTATATGGAGAAATTAACGCTTTCACATAAGCTTTTGCCTATTTAGATTTGGGTCGATGTTTAAACGTTATTTGCGTTTTATACATGTAAATAAACTTTTGAACAGCTCATGGAATCTTACAATTTATTAAAAAATGCATGTCGTTCTACATTACAGTCTTTAATTTTTTTCTTATCTATATTATTTTCAATATTCGACGAATGTCTTTTCCTCGAAGCAAAATTTTCCATGCTTTAATTTAAATTAAATAAATTTACATTTTAAATTTAAATTTCCCTCCGTTCCAGATATTTTGCAAATGCCTTAAAATAGCCTAGCTTGAGTAAACTACGTAACGGTTGCATGTTAAATTTTAAAAATGTATTAATAACAGCTTTGCATTTCCGGGTACGTCACTACCGTCACCACCTGCATGTTGCGGTGCACATTCGATCGGACGAAAGCTTTGTCGGTGTTGCATCGCTTTGTCGGTGTTGCATCGTTCAAAGCTTTGTCGGAGCGAGCGACGTAGCAGATCTCATTTGTATAGATGGGGATTTTTATCTCAAAACAGTCTAGCACAGTGCATTGTGGTCATGCATGCCCCATCGAAAATGCGCAGTAAGCTATTTTCCGTGTTGCTTCCACGCCGTGGAACCTTGCGTTCCGAGACATTAAGACATACAAAGACATACTAGACTTAGGCTACATTGATTCACTTCACTGTTCAGCACAATTTCGGGCTAAATTTCGGAATACCCGTCCACTAGTCATATTTCACTGCGTAGCCCATTGAACTAAAATATATGGAACGCTACCTTAACTGAACATGCCTAGACTTGCCAGAAGCTAGATTTTACCTCCAGACACGCGTATCTGGAGGTAAAATTCACGCGCGTTGTCGCGTTTCCTGCGTGGCGCCGAAGAACAGCGACAGCCAATCAACATGCATTATTATAGCAACATGTGATTGAAAAGGCTTTGAAAAGGAAGGCACTTCTCTTGTTATGGAGGTAATCGGTTAAATTTTCATTCAATACAGTGCGAATCAGAACTTTTCATACGTGTATTCGATCGGTAAATCGGGGAAATGAAACATTTTTTCGTCCAAATTGAATGTGTACACAAAGGACGTGGATCTTCATGGATCAGAGATTCAGAGTGGCATTGTAAAGTTGTAAACACGTAAGTGCGTTTACTAAATTTATTAAGTATGCATGAAGCTCAATCGCATCTGCAACAGAGTAACTGAAATTGTATGTGATTTGAGAACTGTTTGTTTGCCAGGTTCAACCTTTCTTGTTTTTGAATATTCTGAAGCTCTTCGATATGTTTCTATCTTATGATGTTGCCATCTCCATCAATGGTTCATTCCATTTAATATAGCCAGGCACCCCTTATTGAGGGGTCGCTTCCTAATCCCCTTGGGATAAAAACATTTTAGAACCCCTTGGATGTGATTTTTGAAAGTTACCCCATGGATATCTTGATACCCCCTTTAATATCGTTTTTGTCCCCTTGGATATCACTAGAACACCTAATTTTTGCTATTTTTTTGGAAAATCTCCTAAGCTACTCTCTAGAAAAATTTTAGGTAAAACCCCCTCCCCAATAGGAAATCCAGACCCCTCAATGGGGGGGGGGGTGCCTATATTAGATGGAATGGCCCTTTAATTAGGCCTTTGGTAGCCTGCATGGCAGGCGGCCCCTAAAATCGGGCAAGCCTGGGAGAAACCGCCTGCTATGCAGGCTAGGCCTTCGGCAGTCCCGCTTCCGATCTTAGTTCTTAAGTTATGCACAAGTTTTCAAAACGATTCGGTGTTCTAATTTCCATTCTTCGTTCTTTTTGCGTTGATCCGTGCGTTGTTCACTCAATGGACTTTGGCCACTGTCAGCTCTATATTTTTTATAAACTTTTGGTTTCTTAGTGTTATAAATCTATGTATATAATGTGGTAAATGCGCCTGGCAGTAAACAGACTTGACATGGAATATGATAGCAAAAACTTGTGTCATACTAGGGTGCCTGCAAGGTCCCTACCTTGGGCATTTAAAGGAAATAGAACTATGGGCATTTAAAGGAAATAGAACTACAGAATAGCAAAGATTATAAGTGCGCTGTAATCAATTCTTATATACCGTGAGTGTCAAGACCAGGGGTTAAATTAAAGGGCAATCACAGGTGACAGATATTAAACATGTGCGTCTCATTGACAAACAGGTAAATTAATTATATACCACAAGTTTTTGCTATCAGATTTCATATCATGTCTGTTTACTGACAAGCGCATTTACCGCATTATATACACAGATTTATTACACTAAGAAACCAAAACTTTATAAAAATATGGAACTGACAGTGGCCAAAGTCCATTGAGCGAACAACACACGAATCAACGCAAAAAGAGCGAAGAATGGAAATTAGAACACCCAATCGTTTTGAAAACGTGTGCTTACCGGAAGCCGAACTGCCGAACGCCCTTTCAATACTTGTGCTTCCACGTGAATATTAAAACGTCCAAATTCGAATTAAGGATAAAATTGGATGAAAGAAAGAAACGTATTTGATTATCAAAATATTTATCAACATATGTTTTCATAAAGCAAAGCAGAACTATCTTGCTCCAAATAGTGCTGAACAGTAAACTGATCAATGTAAGTCTAGTGTCTTTGCATGTCTTAATGTCTAGGAACGCAAGGTCCCACGGCGTGGAAACACCGCGGAAAAATAGCTTAATGCGCATATCCGATCGCGCATGACCACAATGCACTGCGCTAGACTGTTTTGAGATAAAATTCCCCATCTACAAAAATTAGATCTGCTGCGTCGCTTGCTCGCTTCAGGCTCGCTCGCTTCAGCAGCAATAATTAATTACAGTTAGCTAACCAAGAAGGGCAGTCCATGAAAGATGTTATCAAACAGTGGACCAAGTGGTGACCCCATTGCAACACTATCAACCTGCTTATAAAGAACACCATTAAATAGAAAATGACAATTACTTTTACCAATATTTTTAACCAATAAACTAAAACTTGCCTTGTGCCTAGTGGCCTGCCTACAAGCCCTAATAGGAATGCAACTACTTGAAAAATATAAGGAGACACTCAACGTTTCGATCAAACACCATTCATCGCCTTTGACTTACTCCCAACGAAGGCCTTTCGCTCGAAACGTTGAGTTTCTCCTAATATTTTTCGGATAGTTGCATTCCTACCAACGAAAACTTTGTCTACATTTCAAAATTTGCATAGATATTGCTTTTTACCAAATAACTGACATCCAACATTGCATTGCACTCTTGATTTTAATACACCAAATACTCATCGGTAATGTAACTGTTTGCATAAATAAAATCCTGTACAGATATATATGATATACGTTGAAAATAAATGTTTTTAATATTGTTCTGGAGGTTAGCCCTTGGCATGTGAACTGCATTGTAAAAGTACTGCACTTGGGTTTGCACACTAATAGTTTCATTTTTTGCCATGTTTTTTTCAAATTTTTCCCTTCTAAAATGTCTGCCCATGCAGGAAACTTCATTTAATAGTTCTGTTGCTATTTTTGTTTTTAGGTTTTAGCTGAACTTCAGATAATTATAATCAAGTAAAATCTGTAAGTAATATCGTATGTTCTATGAAGTTAGATGTCGACTGTCTTGGATCAGGTCAGATATAGGTTGAACTGGGTTTGAAAAATAACCGAAAACAATACTAACACTGATTATCAAACTGAAAATTAAGAAAACAGTTAAACAAATTACTACGGCATAATTCCAGGTCCAGTGTTGACATGTGTTAGTTGCCATTGTAACTCATCGTGATTAAATTAATGATATTATTCCCCAGTTCTACCTCAAAGGGGGGGGGGGTCCTTTGCCTACTCAGGCGCTGGTTGTGTCGGTTATGTGTGCCGCCTGCATCAACCCATCCTCGTTCTAGCTTGTACACTTTGTCATTCCATTTGTTGTATATTGGATCGGGGGGGGGGGGGGAAATTTAATTGCCATATAGGAGAATCGATCCCCTATATATAAATGCTTCTCTTTTATTAGCCCCTCCACTATATGAAACCTCAAATCAATAACTCCCTCTGTATTAAGTTCACCGCTTAGGGGCTTTGGTGGTACAATCGTGAGAGCATGCATCGTTCACCTCTGAGATTGTGGGTTCGATCCTCACATTGAACTGATGACACTTATATGAAAAGATTCAGTCAGCACTCTACCAAAAGTCTGGTTTCCTCCCACAGGGAATGTTGACACGGTGGGTTGAGATTAGCCCCCATGCTACACAAGGCAATTTCTGTTGCAAGTTTCATCTTGGAACGCGACTTCTGGCATAGAGCAACGTTATGTTAAAAAGTATTAACCGAAAATCAGCGAGCTTAATTTTACTCTGAATACATTTTGCATAACATTGCTCTACGCCAGAAGTTGCGTTGCAAGTTGCAACAAAAATTGCCTCGTTTAACATGGCTTAACTGACCCTGAGTCCACATGAGTCATAAGGCGGCTGCCAGAGTGTCCTTAGTGAGCCTTCGACTCGATCAGTTTTGGCTGCGTCCTTCGCAATTCAGCTTAGCTCTCAGCTACAAGTAAGGATGATGCGAGTACACCCCCAATTACTCACTTAATTACTTAATAGGTTTTAACAAATATAAAACATTTTCCGTGTTGATATGCAGTTATATCAACACGAGTGGAATTGGGAAAACGAGACATTGTGTGGAAACACGACGCCCGAAGTGCGGAGTGTTTTCATACAATTTCGAGTTTTCCCAACTTCCACGAGTGTTGATATAACTATATATCAATACGGAAAAAATGTTTTATATTTTTTTTATAATATAGCAATGTCAAAAAGCCCGAAGGATAAGAAACTTTTCCATGTTTACAAGCAGCGGAAAATTTCCCGTGTTGACATTGAGTTATATCAACACGGCTCTTAGCCAATCAGCGTTCAGAATTTACAAATGCTATATTATAATCTAAATTAATGGGTTATTGAAGGTTTTTTGTAGATGGACATTTTGAGTGTAAATTTTATACATTTATTAGACCTATATAGTTTCGTTATATATATATATATATATATATATATATATATATATATATATATATATATATATATATATATATATATATATATATATATATATATTAGATTTCTGCATGTTTAACTGTTCGAATTTAGTGCTATTCTTAAGAATCTCAAACATTCTAGATTTGTAGTCGCTGCGGTCCATTATTTAAGTTCGTCATCCGAGAAGATAGATTTAGGAGGAATGTACGTTTTATAGCCCGTCAACGCAACATATTTTAATCCGAGTTTCAGTTAACTCGAATTCGTCGTACTCAGAATTGGTTGCTTTACTAGTATAAGAGTACAAGACGAGTAATTAAAAATAACTTTGTCTGGTTCCGATGTAGAGGACTTCGATAAATCTCTGCACGAACGAAAAAGTTTCTTGTATTGAACCTTCTCATGACGACGAAGTTTCTTGGTATTCTCACGGTCGTAAACAGATCTGAGATGAATGGCTTCAATAGTTGAAAGGAGATTAGTTGGGACCCCGGAATGCGGCGCTATTAAAAGTTAGGAGTGACATGCTTATGAAAATGAATTCCCAGAACGTTGTTCTCTTAGTATTGCTAGCTAGATCTTAGTGCCGCCTTTGATACAGTAGACAACGAAATTCTTCTGAGTAAGCTTCACTCTACATTCGGTATTACTGGAAAAATTCTATATTGGTTTGCCTCGTACCTCACTGGCAGGAATCAGCGTATATCTATCTCAGGTGTTCTATCAAACTATTTTCAGTTAAGTTGTGGAGTTTCTCAGTGGTCTTGCCTTGGTCCCCTGCTCTATATCATCTACACATCTAAACTGTTTGACATCATCGAGAAGCATCTTCCAGATGCTCACTATTTTGCAGATGACTCCCAGCTATATTTGGCATTTAAGCAGGATAGTTATATCAACCAGGACAAAGCCTTAGCTGCGATGGGAAACTGTATACATAACATGCGCTCATGGATGAGAAACAACATGGAACTCTTATTGAATGATGACAAAACCGAATTCCTCATTATAGGCACCAAACAGTAACTTGCCAAAGTAAATATTTCTCAGATCGAAATTGCAATCTCGTTCCCGGGTCTTTAGGATTAAAGACCCTGGTATCGGCTGGTCACGTGCCTCGTCCAAAATTTAGCTCCCGAAGGGGTGTAAGGTATAACAATAAAAAAATAAATTTTGCAAATTATTAAGTTCAAAATACTTGCTATTTTCTTTTTATTTTATTTGCTCTGAATTTACAAGAACATTCACCCATTTGCATGTCCTTTCTTGTAAACGTCGATATGCTTTCCACCAATTTATACTTGTTACTACGCGTCTTGTTTATAAGATTTTTAAAAGAAACAGTGATGTATTGTGTAAAACTAGAGCCCAATATTAGTACATAATTTATAGTCAGGCTTTAGCCTTTTTCTTGGTCTCTATTAATCACAATTTTTTCCTAATATACTATAATCTATATCACAAATTTACAGTGTCAGATGCGGACATAATTTAAGGTAGATATAAATGTTCGAGTTTCCTACTTCTACTAAGATCTGTTTGTTTCTAGTTCTTTAGTCATTATGCTACTATTAAGTAAAATACGGCTCTCAGATATAGTTGTATATTTATTTGATAGCATCATGTGATATATGTATTTGTCAAGCTGTCCATTAAAAAATAACGGTTCTCTATTCCACAAAGCAAAACATTTAAATCTCACTTGTATTATTAAGAATATATATAAAGCAAAAAATTAAAGCTTGTTTCAAAACGAAAGCTATTTATAAAATTTATAAATGTGGTAACACTACTAAATATTGCTCATTGAAAAGCATATAATGTATTGTCGTTTGCTCGTGTACTTCAATTCTCTTTAGCCGACATCCGTATATATTATTTCGTTTTGGAATTTGGAAACGTAAAGCAATCTGTGTGATTCGCCAATTTTGACATTAATTTGTTGGAAGTGGGCGGGAATGACAAAACAGTAAATCTCGTGCCAATTTCGTACCCAAGAATATGCCCGTTCGCAGGTTAGGTGCTGGGCATGACTCTGGAGAAACGGAATGAAGTTATTAATATATTTCATTGGCTGGCGTGTGATCAGTAACACGTACCGATACCGTAAATTGGTGTTCAAGTGCGGGAATTACACGTGGAAATTCCCGAATACGACGTAAACGAAACAAAAATACAAGAAGTCGTTCAATATTAATTAAATAATCGAAATTAGGTTTATTTGCAAATTCAAATACAAGTTATAATATAAGTGTGATATAACAGACGATTTGATTGGCTAATGCGCGTGCATTGTGACGCAATAATGCACTGTGATCTGTGGCACTGCTTTGCTCTTTCTCTGTTTTTCCCCCTCTTCATCACTGCTTTTTAGCCAAAATTATACACAAAATTATAGAGCTTTTAAAATACAAAATTTACCAGAAAGCAAGAAGGAATAGACCAAAGGAACAAAGCAATTTTCTTGGGTGCAGTCTTTTTCCTTGGGTGCAGTCATGGAGAACGGACGTGTAGACTTGAGCTCTGAAGAATTGGCCGAATCTTTATTACGTTTTGTGGAAAATGATGATTCTAGTCATTGTGAATTGAATGTAGAAAGCTCCTTAAATGCTGTAAACAGTTTGTACAGCTATATCTGCTATAAGAAGAATAAGCTTAAATGGGCTGGTTCGTTGGAAGATCTGAAAGCCGTCGTGCTTACTGTAGTGGACGAACAAACAGCTGAAACTACAACCTGGCGATCGCCTAGCGGTGGTACGTGGAAATTCGACAGTAACGCACTGTGTGTTACCTGGCAAACAAAGAGTCAGAATATTTATTTTGAGGGCGAAAACGGCAAGGAAGTGACCAAAAGGATAATTTCGCACTTAAACCAAGGCGTGCACGTTTCGTTGAAAGCTTATTCTCTCGAAGGTAAAGCTACCGAAACAGAACCGAGAGTGACTGAACTTATATCGGACAGTTGTTGCCAAAATTACAAGCAATTGAACGAAGACTGCAGGGAAATCACTATAGAGAATGGAGATGTCGTGAATGAAAACGCTGATATCTCTTCTGTTGAATACCGTGGGAAAACCGATGTAACTATGGCATCCACTCGCTGCATAAACACAAGTTCACAGGTAATCGTTAATAAATCCTCTGGTGCCCTCCATAACGAGGTAAGCGAAATTAAATTTAATTGGATCAACACGTTCACGAAACAAGAACGGAATTCCAACAAATTAAAGAGAACTTCGATTATCAACTTGATCAGCTAAGGAAATCATATAGCTTGCCCGGAAAAAAAGATGCAAAGTGTTGTCGGACTAGTTCAGACGAAAACGCTAGACTAAGACAAGAAAATGCTCAGCTTAAGGAGGAAAATAACACCCTGAAGGAGAAATTTAACAATTACTCCCTCGATTACTCCTGTACTATATCGGACTTAAAAACCAAAATAGAAAATATTGAAAACGAAAAACTGAGTTTGATCACGGCTATAAAGCTGCTACAAGATGACAATAATTCTAGATCAGCGAATAATAAACAGTCAACATGTAGTACTTGGCAGGTTCACTCTAAACCAAGTTCACGCAAAATTCCTGCTACTCACGTACAAAACAAACCGTTTACCCCCACTGTGATAAATAATCAACCACGGGAAGTAACAACGTCAGAAAATAGATTCGAACTATTATCGCATACTATAGATAACGACGAAAAATTCAACACCGTTGAAAGTTCAAATGAGTCTAACACTCCTTCGGTAATAAAGCAAAATTGCCCAAGGGAGGATCTTAGTAAACGTAGCAATCAACAAAGGGGTAATCAATCAACCAAACCCAACAAGGATAAAGCAAAGTTTAAGGATAGAAATCGCCCAGATAATAACACAGGTGAAAAGTCTGGTAAACTCGCATTTATTGCAGGGGACTCTATTCTGCAACATGTGCATGGCTGGGAATTGTCCAGCGACGAACAACGTGTGTCAGTAAAAGCCTTCTCAGGAAGTAGAGTAGAAGACATGCAGGACTATATAAAACCCCTGATACGCAAAAAGCCTGACACAATGATATTGCACGTTGGTACTAATGACATTAAAGACGACACCAAGTCAGCAGAGGTAGTTGCAGCGGGAATATTAAATTTAGGTAATCAAATTAAGGATAATTTACCACGCACTACAGTATGCATATCAAGCATAACTGTCAGGAAAGACAAAGCCACCATTCAAAACAAGATAAAAGCTGTAAATGATATTCTTGGGCGTGTTTGCGGCTTAAATAATTGGACTTATATAGACAATAGTAATATAGACTATACTTGCTTGAATAGACGTGGGCTACACCTAAACAAAAAGGGTAGCAGTATTATTAGTAAAAATTATAATAACTAGTTCAATCATATTAATTGAAACACAGCCCGGCCAGGTGTTGATAAATGGGCATCATCAAACCCAAACGTTCCAAACTTTAAAGGTTTCAAAATGAGTATGCTAAATATAGCCAGTTTACCTAAGCATATTAATGAAATAAGAATATTACTGGCCGGTCAATGTCTCGATATACTTGCTTTGAATGAGACAAGATTGGATGAAAATATTAGTAACCAGGATATGCATATAGATAACTATGATTTAATTAGGTTTGATCGTTCTAGAAAAGGGGGAGGCGTCTGTATATATGCTAAAAATTCTCTTAACTTTTCCGAACGAAAAGACTTGACTAGAGATAATCTTGAGGCTGTTTTTATCGAAATTCATAAACCTTCTAGTGCATCCTTTATTGTTGGAACTATATACAGACCTCCAAGTGCTTCGGTTGACTCATTTGTCGCAATTGAAAAATTAGTGCAATTAATAGATGACGAGAATAAGGAATTTTATTTACTTGGCGATTTAAATGCCAACATGCTTGACATTTCGAATAATGCCACAAAAGAACTAGTTTCAATAATGGAACAATATCAATTAACTCAAACAATTAGTGCACCCACTCGTGAGACCACGACTTCATCCTCTTTGTTAGATGTTTGTCTCACTTCTACTCCAGAAAAGTTAATTACATCTAGGGTAGTGCCGATTACAATTAGTGACCATTATATGATTGTCATTGTTCGTAAAATAAATACTTACTGTAAACAAAAACGCCACAAGAAAGTTGAATTTCGAAACTTAAAAAATTTTAATGTCGATAATTTCCAAGCCGACCTGTATAG